GAAATAATGAGTAAAAATCCTTTATCACGTGATTTATTTTTTTAACTGTATTTTTGTAATGAAAGTAATTAAAAAAAATTTGAAAATTTTTCTTGAATTTGATACATGGGCGCAGTAATTTGATGGCTTATGATGTTACGCACTGTAATTCATAAGATTTTCTAATGAAAATCTATTACTATTTGCAATTAATAAATCAATGTCATCATATATTGATTCACGTTCAGCATTTGCAATTTCCTTTATAGCTTCTATACGTTTTTGTTGATTGCTAAAACATGAATCCCATTGTTCAAGAAGATATTTATTTTTACTAAATTGTTCTTCGTACAGATTCTGAATTTCATCTATGTGATTATAAGAAGTATCTAAATTCTTTTTTAATTCTGATACTTCATGTTCATAATTTTTCAATTGTTGTTGTAGTTGCATGATTTTATTATTAAGATCCAAAATAATTATTGATTGTTTTTGATGTTCTGATTCACTCATTTCTAGCATGTCTCTTGTTCTTTGAAGCTCCTCTGTAATGTTAGACTCACCAATATAATTTTCGCCTGCTACAATGTCAATGGTACTTGTGTGTAATTCCAAATTATTGATTTCCTGGGATCTTTTTTTTTTGAATAATAGGAATATCTGAATTTTTATTTATATTTGAATTTAAAAGAGTCTGATAAAAATTGTTAGTAGCAACAATCTGATTATAATGTTTACATATTGAATGATTTTCCAAAGAATCAATTAACAAAGATAATTCAGGAAAGTATTCAGTAGATAGATGTAGACATTCCCTTACTGCATTTCCCGATGCTTGTCTCCAGTATTGATTACTTTTGATTTCACATTGTTTCAGCTTACTTTCCGAATATTTCTGAGCAAGTGTGGTGAACAAGCATGGTAAGGTACTAGCAGGTTGTCTTTCCACTAAAAGTTTTTAAAAAAATAATAGTTAAATAAAAAAAAAAACGAAATTGTACACCTTGCGTTTAAATTTTCTCTGATTTTGATAGAAACATACTTTAAGCAAATCAACAGATTATCACAGATTATTAACAGATTATGAAAAAGAAAGTTTTGGACTATTTATTTCAATTATTAATTAAATTTTTTTTTTAAAAAAATGTGACTTCAATATGATGAGTAACATCTTGTGAATTCATTTGTAACATATATGAATTGATCGGCAGAGCAACATACCGATATGGTAAAATCCCAGACTGAAATTAATTAATATTAATGCAACACGAATTTATTTAGCAAATAAATCACGTGAAAGTCACGGACGTGCATTTAGAGAGTGTGGTTTTATATGAACGGGGATGGGTGAAGACCGTGCGGTGCAGAGTATGGAGGGTGTGCATTTATCTCTAATTCCCGAGGTTGGGAATGAGACATAGCGTGGATTTATGGAGGGATGCATTTATAGAGGGTGCGCTTATGGAGGAGGGTTCACTGTAATTGTCTTCCACTAAACAAACAGTTGTACAGAAATGTTCATTGGTTTTTCCATGATTTTTTGGGAATAAATAAAGGCATCAATTGTTAAATTTTTTCACATTCCTTCGTCAACGGATGTGTCATTGTTTCTTTATTTTATAATTTTGAATCTTTGTTTAATATTTGTCTAGTAAATAGATAATGCAATAAGTTGATTCTAGCAACCTCAAAATAGCACTTGACTAAATCTTCACAGTTATTAGGGATAATGATCAGAAAATTGCTTCGAGAAAATTTAAACCCTTCTATTACTTGCAAATCAGACCCGATGAAAATTATAAAACTTGCCATTTCATGAAGATCAAGTATAAATGCCGGAAAGTCACATGCAAACTTCTTTAAATCAAACTTTTCTCTTGCGAATTCATTCTGAATGGTGCAAAGAATAATAATTATTGATTAAATAAATAAAACGTATTATTGGAACGTTACTTCTTTTAAAGGTGTTTTTGATAAACATTGGTAACTGCTGTCGTCATATTTTCTGAGCTTTCATAGATTTCTTCAACGTGGCAACAATATTATTCAAATTCAAAATTCAAAATTGCGTTGTTGCCGTTATCTTCCTTGTTGTTATCTTCGTTTCTATTTGACTTTGTTGTTATCATTATTGTTTTATCTGTGTTTTTTATTTATGGCGATGTTTTTGGTAAGGTTTATTACATCATTTTTGAAAATCACCTTATTATTTTTAATCTACACTATATTCCCCTTATTTGTAACAAATCAAGCACAACTTATAATTCGAAAAAAAAAAACTCCAATTTATTCAATCAATCGATCAGTGTTTAATCAAAAATTTCCCATTTTCTTTTTTAAATAAAATAAAGATGGTTAAGGTTGCAGTGCTCGGTGCTTCTGGAGGTATTGGACAACCTCTTTCCTTACTTCTTAAACTTAATGAAGCTGTTACAGAACTTGCGGTATATGATGTTGTAAATACTCTTGGGGTAGCAGCTGATTTAAGCCACATTAGTACACCAGCCAAAGTCACTGGCTACTTACCAGCTAATGATGGTATAAAAAATGCTTTAATTAATTCACACCTCATAATTATTCCTGCTGGTGTACCTAGAAAGCCTGGAATGACTAGAGATGACTTATTCAAGGTAATAAAACATATATTAATGTAACAATAATAATTTCACAATTTATATATGGATATATATGTGTGTTTAATAATTGATTATTTATTCATCAATTAATTAGATTAATGCAGGAATTGTTAAAAATTTGGCAACTAGTATTGCTCAATATGCACCGAATGCCTATATTCTTGTAATATCCAATCCAGTCAATTCAACGGTTCCAATTTTTGCTGAAGTTTTGAAACAATACAATGTATTTAATCCAAAGAAACTTTTTGGAGTAACAACACTTGATATAGTTCGTTCATCAACTTTTACAAGTTCAATTTCTGGAGCCGATCCTCGCGATGTCTGTGTTCCTGTTGTTGGAGGTCATAGTGGCGTGACTATCATTCCACTATTATCTAAAATTTCACCATCTTATAATTTCACACAAGATCAAATTGCTTCACTAACAAATCGTATTCAATTTGGTAATTTTACTTTATATATATATATATATATATATATATCATAATAATAAAATAAATAATAAAATTATTAAGACTTTTTTAATATACATTATACATGTATCTAATTATTGTAAAGGCGGTGATGAAGTTGTTAAAGCAAAAGATGGTACTGGATCTGCAACTCTTTCTATGGCATATGCAGGCGCCAAGTTTGCATCTTCTGTTTTGGATGCAACAGTTAAAGGTAAACCTGGTATAATTGTGCAATCATATATTAATCTTGATGCTGATAAGGAAGGTAGTTTTCAACTTAAAAACACAATTGATAACTTGGAATATTTTTCAACAAATATTGAATTGGGAGTAAGATTCATCATTATTTTATCAATTGTGAAATTATATTAATTTATAAATATATTAACCGAATATGATTTTTTCTAAATTTAAATTTACTATATAATTGATAATTAATGATTAAATGGGAGGAGCAATTGCAATCGGTGAGTCATTAATTTACATGATTATAATCAATTTATTGTTATAATACTACATAATTTATTAACGCTTATATATATATATATGTATGTATGATTAATAGGACATCCTTTGGGTTGTACTGGTGCACGTCAAGTATCAACACTCTTGACAGAGTTAAGAAGAACAAGGAAGAAATTAGGAGTTATTTCTATGTGTATCGGAACAGGAATGGGAATGTCTGCTGTTTTTGAAGCAGAATTTGCTTAAAATTATTAATGTAATTGATAATTGGTTAATTAGTTAATTAATGATCATTTAATATTTAGTATTATTTAATTATCACTATTTTTGATCTCAAATAACCAATATAATTATTTAAAAGTTGGTATTTGTTTTCGTTTAATAATAATAGTAATGAGATTGTTTTATTATATATGTTAGATCAAAAATTTAAAAACAAAATGTTTATGATTACATATCATTATTTTCTTATTATTATAAATTGTAAAAAAAAAATTTCTCTCATACCCCTCCCAATATAACAAATATTTTAAAGTCCAAATGAAGCATGGCCACTCAAACAAGCGATTTGTTTGTTATCGGCATTGTAAGCATTCACGTAAATGTTATAACTTCCCTATAAATTATAAATAATATGATTATTAATAAATAAACATTATAATTACCAATGAATAAATAATAATTAATAACTAATTAATAAATCTCTTACGGGAAAAATATTTCCAGGTAATTGTGCCACTTTGTCAATTGTATGATTTCCCTTCATAACAGGACAACTTTCATCAACCTCGGGAGCTTGTTCGCATAAATCAAGACGTTTTGAATAAATCGTCACTATTCCATATTTAACTACCACATCAACATAACCACCTTCACCAACGGTTTCTTTGAAATAGCCAGAGCCTTGAACACGTAATTCTTGGCCTTTTTGTGGTGGGTCAGGAGTTAATTTTATGTAATGAATCGCCAAGATATCTTCTGGTTGGCTACAAACCGATACAGTATCATATAATGCTTTTACCGGAAATTCATTGCTAAGAACTTCCTGAATTGTTTCTTTGAGAGAGTCTACTTCTTCTTGAATCCTATTCGAGTTTACTATTGAAGCAAACAATAACATGATCAAAGAAAAGAAAATAACCACAAATAAATTGTTTTTATTATTCATGATGATTGCTGTCATTATTATTATTATTGTTATTGTCAATTAATTTTGAAAAAGAAAGGAGAAAAAAATTATATTTTATTATTAATTTTTTTTTATACTATAATAATAAATATTTTTGAATGGTTACAGAAAAATAGCCATTTCTCAATTTATTGTTTATTTACATCTCACATTTTTTTATCATCATCTATTACTATTTACAAGTTGTTTATAAGAGGCGAAATGCGTTTTTGGGTAATATTAATGTAAATCTTCCGTACGATGTTCTACTACATGTTATATGAAGCAATGCTGACTAATAATAAAAATTTAAAAATGAAAGGCAGTAAATTTTTTTGCCTGGGCAATATTAAAAATAACGTTAACATTAACCATTAACGCCTTTAACCATTTTAATCTACAAATGATCGTGTCATGCAAACAGGAATTAAAATGTATATAAAAATAATTTTTGGAGAGAAGAAATTTAGTTTCAAATGGATGCAAGTCTACACTTGGGTATTATTGTATAAATAAGACCGCATTATTTAGCATAGGCTTGTTACATCAAGTTTACATACCATAAAACTTGATCGAACTATTTGAAATATGCTCATGTTTATCTTAGCGGTTAGATTCTTCATACGATCCACCAGTCACAAAAATGTCAATATCAGATTATTTAAGATCGATTCCGCACCTCATAAAGAACATCGATGGTAGAAATGTGCAAAATTTAAAGAAATATTCTATTTCAATACGATGATGCTTGCCATATTTGCTAATTATAATCCTATTGTGAGATTAAAATAGAAAACAATCATCAAAAAAAAAATTTTTTTTAAATTTTTGCATATTTCAAATTTCGTTTAATGATTGCTAATTCAATTCGTTTTATAGATTTGTTTGATTATATTAAGATTAAATTTTTTTTTATAGATTTTAGTGGATAAAGACAACCGGCTGATTAACTACTAACTGGTCAATTGATTATTAAAATTTCAGAGCCTCACTCCATAAAAATAGCTACAGAAGTTAATATTAAATTACTTTTTTACAAAAAATCCGTTATATGTAAAACAAATACTTTTGTGGGTCGGAAATTAAACAGCAGGGTTTAATGATCAGAGTGTGGCGAAGTTTGGTATTATCCAATGTAGTGTTAACGACGGGCAGTAAGGTTCAAATGTAAACATTTTTGTTTACGTTTTTGTAAAAGAGTTAAATGTAAAGTGTTAAAGTTGTTCGGTAAAGTAATAGAGTGTTAATGGCTGTTATCGACTACATTGCAGACATTTATTAACCAAAGTCTTTAGTTATCGCATATTGTTATTTGTGTTAAAGTAAAGCAGTTTAAGTAGACTTGTAAAGAGAGCAAATCAGCCAAGCCTTTAAGCGGCCAAAGAAAAGTAAAAGTAAATAAAGAAGAAACTTTAGAAAGCATTTTTCGTTTTCTAAAAGAGTCACATTTATTAATTGTACCATAAAGTGTGCTTACAGATCGCTGGAGTTTTCTAGGTACAAGAAAGAGGCAGTAGGCAAGAAATTAATACGAACTCGGCTATAAACGTAAACCAATCGGTATTAACCGAAAAGCTACATCACAATATATCTTCACAGGGGCGGGCATCAATTTTTCAAAAGAACCGAATTAATTCTTTTAAGAATCTCCTTAGCCAGGATAACATCAGGTATCTCATGACCATATACAGTATGTAAATATCTTTACAAACTTTCTGGTAATTCCATCCAAATTTTCACGAGTTGCAAGTATCTTGATTATTAAATGTTGATTTTCATTTTTGAATAAAGAAGTATTTTCGCCCCGTCATAATCATCATTACAGTTGATATTGTTATTTTTAAAAAAATATTTAACTGTTGACAATACAAACAAGAAAATAACTCCAATGTTGGAAACGAAAAAAATAATGTAAAAAACATTAATTAATATTTCAATGTCATTTTATTTTAATTGTGCAAGTATTTTCATCATCGTCACCACAGTTTGAAAAAATATCAACTGTTAATTTTCATTTTATACTCTTCTTTTACTTTCACCTTTTTTATTACATTGAGTTTATCTTATATTTATTATATATTTACTTATAATGGATAAAACCGCTTTTGAAACTATCTTCAAGCCAATAAAAATTAAACGCCCTTTCTGGCAAATTCATCACCAATATACAGTACCTGGACAAAAGTATCGGAACACTTGCTTTTGTTGATTGCGCAAAAATATACATAATAAACATGTA